TTGATACATGTTGAACATGATTGCAAGACCAACTGAGTGCTTGCATGTATTTTGCTTGAGACCAACTGGACAAGTACATGACGTCAGAGGTGAAACAAGCCAACATCATTTTTGCCAAACAACGAACTCTTCAAATGATTGCCATTGGCCTAACTGATACTGTTCCAACCAATTTGATGTTGCAAGAGTTGCAGAAGAAGATGGTACAATATAGTAGGTGTTAAACCAATTTAAGATTTGACTTCGATTAATTGTTAATGACCATTGGTATGCCTGCAATTCTGTATCAAGTGATATAAAAGTATTATTAGCAAATGGTGATGTAATGCTCCCTTCAGACCAATCTTTCAGCATTTATTCCATTTTTGGTAAGAAAGCCGAAAGATGAAGTTTGTTTCGTAGAGTATATTTTTGTTTTATAATAGCATTTAAAGACCCACATCCATTATTAGTTGATGGTTTAGGAAATGCAGCACCTTCGTACCTAGATCATAGCAAAGAAAAAATACTTCGAACACAATCAACAATGGTTTCATTTTCTTACCAGTAAGGCAATTTAGTGATCCATTAATCAACGAAGTATTCGAGAAACTTTTTGGCTGTTGGTATTGCATTCCATTTCTGTATAAATGATTTAACACCACGATTGAATACGTCGTCGGAAAAACTTAACTGTAGGCAATGAATATCTGCATCAATCTTATGCCATAAATATTTTGGTACAAGTTTACGGTGTATTCTGCATTTGCGCCTCATGTGGCTCCAGCACATGAGCCAACGACATTCAGGTAAAAGTTTTTGTTGTGCACTTGTTATACCTAAATATATATGAAAAAACATACGAATATTTGAACCGTGAGTTGTAATACCAGATTACCAGGTGCTCCATCAGCCATCATATGAGTAATAAGACATGGTTGATTGAATTCTTAAATAGATAATTCATTAATAGATTGAAATAATTGTTCATAACATGTTTCATTTTCATCATAAGACACTAATGCGATGCCGAATGGTTTAAAATATCGGTTCGCATCTGTTGATCCGAAAACTAATAGTGATAATTCATTCCAGGTAATTTTGTAGGTGGCATCAATCTGGAAGAAAGTCGTTAACTTGAGTTGTTGAAAAAGTTGTTTAGTTGTAAAAAATATAAATATGTTGTCGATGTCATTAACCATATGAAATGGTACGAAAGTTGAATGTAGTTGAGAACCATCTTTGTGTTGATCACACCAATTTCTTAAATCAAATACGGAAAAAATTTCTAGATCGACCTTTACGACGTTCATAATTAATCAAATCAATTAATTTTGTTTCATGCATTGGTGAATTTGGCAAATCATTAATCAATGATAATTTAATTTGATTTTATGATAATCCGCAACGAACATGTTTAGATACTGTTTGACGAATTGGAGAAGGTAGCCGAGTTGTTGAATTACATTCTTCTTGCTGATGTTGATGAGTGTTTCGTGACATAATGGTAACTGAGCCTGGATCATAATCTGGTACAATAATTTGGATTTCATAAAAACATAATGGATATTTCCTATATTTGCTACACTTGAATGAGTATTTCGTTTGATTCTTTAGATCTGAACGCCGATATTGACATACATTAAATTGAGATTTTACCAATCTCACTGCTTCATCGTAAGATTTCGCTGTAAGCAACGGTTGCCATTCTTGATTCAACATTTTTTGTTATGTACTAATCTACACTTGAATTTTATCAACAACATTTTTAGCTAATGAGCCTATTTCGATATAATGAGGTTAAAAAGACTGAGTTTCATTTATCAAAACACTTTTGTTCCATGTCAATTGGCTCATGTGTCGATTAATTTGCTGATTAAAACACTAATTGAAAAGTGATCATTTAGCAGTTAAAATTTGGTGATCAAAACACTCATTTTTTTGTTATCATTTCGCAGCTAAAAAGTTTAGTGATCAAAACTCAACTTTTTGGTGATCAAAACACATTTTTCCCTGTTTAATTAACATGTTCTCTCTTCTCCTCTCCTTTGATGTTGTTTCATTTTTCTTTTCTAAAAAAAAGAATAATATCGAGAAGATGAGGCATTTGTATGATGTCAAAAATGATATTTAACATTTTTTAAAGCGAATGTTATTCATCAACAAAAATCTATTCAAACACACTGTTTTGTTACAAAAAAGTCAATACACAGAGAGAGAAAGATAGTTATTCATTTTTAATGATTTCAGGTAACAAAAAGTGAAAGTAGAAAGTCGTCAGTTTTTCCTTGATAGTTGATCAGATATTGCCATCCCTGTTAAAACGTTCTATGTAAAGGTCTTCGTTTTTCACGATTTTTGATGAACCAATTATAAAAATTATTTGATATATTTGCTAAAATAAATTTTTGCTGATGAATAACATTCGCTTTAAAAAACGTTAAGTATCATTCATGACATCATATAAATGCCTCATCTTCTGGATATTATTCTTTTTTTGTTAGAAAAGAAAAATGAAACAACATCAAAGAAGAGGAGAAGAGAGAACGTGTTAATTAAACATATCCTCTTCTAGCGAGGCAAGAGAGAAGGATAATGAGAGAGAGATAAAAGCAAAGTGACCGCTCTTAGCAAGCAGATGATATAATATATGGCCATTTTTATACATGTTCGTGGCCAACCAGCGAATGTTGAATAAGGCTCATTGTTAAATAGTGACAAAAGAGGTTCTGTGATAGTGATATCAAACATAGTTGATCTCACAGAGAAGGAGAGAAAAAGTTAAATGAAAAGGCAAAGCAAAAGTTATATGTCAGATAAAAACAAAGAGACCAGCAAAATAATCCATTAGGGTCGGGTGTAGGTGTGAGTTTGAGTACATGTTGGTTTGAGTGTGTGTGTGTGTGCATAAGGGTACGTGTTGGTTTGGTGTATGGATGTGGACTTCCGTATAAGTGTAGATGAAGGTGTGAATTTTCTCTTCACCTAAACTCACACCGTTTTAGAACTTTCATTGTGTGGCAGCAATTTTTTTAGAAAAATGAAAACTAATAATCATTCAATGGCTCATGACAAAGACCAAAAAGAACAGAATCACCATTAAAAGCGTATAGTTTGGTGCCGCCAAAATATGTATGTTCCTATTTTAGTCAATACAGATTAGCGCAAAGACATTAACAAAGTTCATGAAATAGAGACACAGAATGAACATCAAATGTTCATTTCATTTAGGATAAAAATCGTCTTGAAAAGTGATGAATTACTTTTGCAAAATATTGTATTTGATAAAATAATGTTACGTTTTATAATTGTAAGAAACAACATTTGATGAACAATGAACATTTATTTATAGAAAATTTAATCACGATTTGAAATATTTTATTCAAACAGTGAAAATCTTCAATATAAATCAAAAACGAGAACTAACCTTCTCTGTGCTGAACCTGACACTTATAACAGTTGAACATGTTAAATTATCGTCTTTGAAACGTCACTGTATTGAAAATAATAAAAAAATAAGTTTAAATAAATTATGAAGCAATTTATTGTTTGTACAAATATAATATGAGCATTAGATTTTTCTTTCTTGCTTGGAAATATTCTACAACTATTTTAATAAAAACCCGTCTAACAAAATTTAACCTAGTAGAAAACGCATCATTATTGTGTAGATATAGTTCTACACCGACGGATCCCAATATATCAGAATACTTCTAAAAAGTCATGAAAATATCAGCAAATTAATGTTGTCGCAAAATCTTCTATTGAAATCAATATACATTTAAGATTTTCTTATGAGAAAAAGGCATTGCACACTTGTCTATCATTGATAAAAAATATCAGTCACATATCTTCAAACAGAGTGAAGATTTTTTATTGCAAACATAAATATGATCTACCTTATTTTATAATATTTAGTGCATAATGATCACATCTGCTTTAAATTAGTCATATGAATTAGTCTAGATGATCTACTGTCGATTGATTACATAGTAAATCTATTTCAATAATCATTTTTATTCTGTGAGAATTTATTTTCGGTCGAGTATTTCTAACATGATAAATAATTACGCTAATGAGTACTAGAGGATGAATCTTGTCTTCAAACATATCCATAAAAATCCTTCCTCGGATATCTTCAATAGCAATTTTAGGTTAAGATTATTTAATATATGAAAGTAATTACTTAACATTGCCTATATATTCAACTGTTGAGTAACTTCCCATGGAAAATTGTTTTTGAAACAACCGCTGAAAATCGTAGTGTTTCTAAACTCACCGCGGTATTACTCGAGGAAGCCGCGGTTTTCTTTTGATTACCGTGATGTATTAGAATAGAAAAAGACTATACCCATGGAAAAATTTGTTCAGAAATACCGCTGAAAGCCGCATTTTTCTTCATTCCACAGCGACCATACTCGAAGAAACCGTGGTTTCACTTTGATAGCCGCCGTTTATCGCGATTTTTTTTTCACCGTGGTTTGTGAGAGCCGCGACATGCTTACTGGCAACTGCGTTACTAAATATCACAGTATCCATCGGTTTCAAACACCGCTGTATTGAGTAACGCGATTCGTCTACACAGAACCATAGTACGTCTAGTGTAGATTGAAGTGTGATGGAATGTGGAAGGACAGAGAAGATGTTGTGCCCACATATTTTTTGAGAAATTTTAAACAAATTTTCTTATTCTCTCTCACTGCAAAGCGACTTTGTGATAATGGAACTTAGAAAGTTTACTACACCACCCCTCCAAGGGTAACTCATCTAGCCTTTGAGAAAAGTTCAAGTGAGTCTAGACACCCTGAGCTAGGACTTCTGATTCAACAACATCTAGAACAACCACGATTCGAATAAATCACGGTTTATGACAGTTCAAAAAACGGCAAAAGTCAGACCGTTTATGCGTTTTTTGCAACTGCTCAAAACCGCGGTTTGAAATAGTTTTTAAACACCGAATTAGAGATCTGACGTTCGAGGTTTGAAAAACCGTTGATTACCGAGGTTTTACAGACCACGATTTTTGTTCGAAACGTTTTTCATGGGAAGCCTGTGGTGCAGTCAAGATCAACGAACATTTTTGAAGCTGCAAAAAGTAATGTTGCACAATTTTATCAATTAGACGAGATCAGTAGTGTTGGCTACCGATAAGAAAGATATTGTCATCGTCGATTCTCATCATGATTAAAAAATCAGCCTTCAGAAACGATATTTCGTTATGACAGTTAGAGAAATTCATGAGCAATTTAAACTTGAGTATCTAAATGAAAAAATTGGTTCAACTTCATTTAGTTTACTTCGTCCAAAACATGTTTTACCAATGCCTGATATTCCTCAAAATGTTTGTCTATGCAAACATCATGCAACCATTGATTTATTATCGTCATCCTTTAAAATCCATCTTAAATGCACCAAAGATCATAGTACTTTTCCATGAAGATTTCATTTGCGATAGTAGTAATTAAAATTATATGTCGTTAAAAAGGAAAAACATGTGGCAATTAGAAAAATTTTGGTAAATTGTTGGAATGTAATGAAGGAGTCGGTGGAGAAGTTTTATCTTATCTTCAATGGGAAAACATTGATTTAGAAATTGTTAAAGTAGAGAAATCTGAAACAGTTCAAGATGTTATTGATATGATTCTAAAATGTCAAGCTATAGATTTTTTAATGCACAGCTTTATTACTCATGTTCAATACATATATTTTCAAGAATGTAAACAACTAGCAAGTGAAAAATCAATCATTTCACAAATTAATTTTTCAATGAACTATCGTACAACATGTCAAGATGATATTCAAAATGCGTCTTTTAATTATAAACAAGTTGGTTTATTCAATGCGGTGGTTTATTCTGGTCTTTGCTCTCAAGTAACAAGTTATTCATTGATATCTGATGATGCATCTCATGATGAATATTCAGTCCGTTTTTGTTTAACAAAAATAATTACAGATCTGAAAAAAAACGATTTTCTTCACTGAAAACTGTCAAGATTTTTTTAGATACTGCTATATCCCGATTCAAACAGTGATTTTTATTTGGGAACTTAACATTTTTGTCCAATGATTATAATCTTAATTTTATTTTGAATATTTTTCAAGTGGATATGAGCGTGGGACAGTAGACAGCGCAGAAGGCTTCGTTAGACGGTTGGTATAGAAAGGTGTTATGGCAAAACAATATGTTACACGTAATTCAGATCATTTTTATACATTATGCAACTGAAGTTCCAAAAATCATTAATGATTATATTTATCGATACACATCATATTAAATCTCAATCATCATTACTTGATCAATGATGGGATCAAATTCGAGCTATTCCAAATAGATCAAAAATTCATTATATTGAAATTAAACCATTTGACAAATCGACAGATAAAAATAGATTTTGTCTAAAACCATGACAAAATATGTCTCCTGTTTTAGTCGAACTATGCTTTAACTATTCAGCACAAAGTTTCTCTTTCTTTCTGAAAAAACTATTCCTTTATTTTCTCTTTATGCTTTATGGCATTGCTGAGAACAACTTGAAAAATATTTCAAAACGAAATTTGTAATCAAAAACTCCAAGTTCCTCTAGTCTAGTATTGTATCTTTTTGTTATTGATCGTTTGCAAAATCGACCGATTAAATAATATAAAAGTAGGATAATAGTAAATTGTGAATATACATAAAACAATTCACAGCTTCCCAAAACAAAATTTTTTTTGTTAGTTTTTTTTGCTGGCTTTCTTCCAAAGAAGGTCAATACGAGATTCATTCAAATCCTTGTTCACAAGCCCTATTGTAGCATACCCCTGAAGAGTTTTCTCACCGTATTTTTTATCAGTCCAAAATATCATATATGAATCCAAAAAAAACCATGCGATTTCTGAAAAAAAATACAATACGAAAGAATATCTCATTTTTAGGAGAAATATTTCCCCTTTTCTTTCCAAGTCCCTTCACAGTATCCTATCTCTTTTTTTGAAAAGAACTTCATGTAGAATCTCTACCAGAATACACAGACTTTCCAAAAATCATTATAACAGAAATTAATACTTTTTTAAATGTGTTCTCGACAGAGCACCTGTTGAAGGATAGAAGTCGTGGATTTTGTGGTAAATAAGTGAAGAATAATAGACAAAAATTTATTGCACTCGTACTGTGTCATGTCGCTAACGACGAACAGACATTTTTTTCGAAAAAACCTAGGACATGCCGAGAAAAAACTTCAGATACAGATTATTCAGTTTCAAGAGTCGTCTACAAAATGTATCATTTGGTTTTTAAAAATAATGTTTCAATTTGCATTTTTTTAACTGAAATGCATCCAGTGATAACTGATGTCTTTTTCAGTGTCGCGTCGCTAATTCTACTTTTTTTATTAATAATTCCTCTCAACAAAAGCTTACAAGACTGATTTTTTAGGGTATTTAGAGTTACTCAGCATACGTATTACATATAAAAATTAGCTCTAGAAAAGTTTCATCTACAGAAATATGTGTTTTAGTTTTGTGAAGTCATGTCACTAACGAATGATTTATCTCATATATCGTCGTTTTATCGATTTTATTAGCATATTAGGATTTAATTATGAGCCACTTTTCAAGCACACAAAAACGAAATAACATCAAAAGATTTCAATAGATTGAAATAGCGACAACAAAAACAAATACTACATGTTTATTTTTACAAAAATTTCTTTTCGACTATCCTGTGTTAAGAAAATGTTTAAAAGAGATCTATCTCTAGTTAATTACTTCACGAGAAATACTTCAACTCGATCAAGAGTTATCTTTAGATCATCGATCAATGTATTCATGTTCGTAGGTTGCTAAATTTTTCTACAATTTCAAATCCTAAAAAGTTTGTCTTGCTTTTAATATGTAGCCAATATGTGCCACTACTAATAGGTGGGTCGAAAGTTTTCGGACAAAATGTTTGTTCATTTTTGGCCCACATGAAAATATTTCGGATCAGTCGAAAACTATGGATTAGAACCAGAATTTTTGCGTTCTTTATGAGTATAGACTTAGAAATTTCATGTCAGCTATTGTTCGAGAGTAGTGATCGAATCTTTGAAAGACCTGAAAAATTAGTTTGTATGGGAAATTTTTTCGTACCTTTCTATCTTTTAACTATTCTGATTCGAAATTAAAAGTTGGAAACTTTATTGCCCAGCTGATAGAGCAAAATCTGCTCTTCAAAATGTACTAGTTGAGTTTCTTTCGTCGTTAGGCAAGGTACCCCAATTATCGTTTTTGCTATGCGCTCATTTTCGAGAAATCGACTTTTTGGCCAAAAGGCGTTTTACACAAAAAGAAGCTCCTGACACAATGCCTATAACTTCACTTTTGTAATAGCTACACCTTAATTCATTATCAAATTTTGCATAGAAGTGTTCGCTCTACATAACTAATGTGTCTGATAACTTTTAGCGTTTTCGGAAACGAACGTATATATGAGTTAGCAAAAAGCTGTTTATGGGTCATCGAAAGCAGTTTTAAAGACTTTTCAAAGATTTCTTCATTGCTCTTGAACAAAAGCAGATACAATATCTCTAAGTCCATATTCAGAAAGAGAAGAAAATTCTGGTTCTAATCTATAGATTTCGACTCGCTCGAAATACTTTTCAGTGGGCGAAAAATGAACAAGCATTTTGTCCGAAAATCTTCGGCCTCCCGTTATGTAAACGAGACCGATTTGTCCATTTTCTCTAGTTTGTTTTTTCCGAAAGTTCTTGTCATAAAATACGAAAAAATCAGAAGATATAGAACTGTTTTTTGCATTGATTTTGACATCAAATTGAGCTTTCTACCATGTCAAATGGTGAATGTATCTCGTATGTACGAAAACGTCTAAATCAAAAACTCTTTTGTGAGAAAAAAACAAAATAAGTTTAAACACTTGCATGTCAACACTTTTTCCTCAATAAACTTAGTTAGAGCAATGAAAAAAACATCGCACTAACATTTTAAAACCGTACAGTAAACTTTAGGAAACTTTCTTCTTATTTGCAGAGATAGTATAAACAATAATGCTCTAGTTTTCTGTGCTATTTGATCATTCTTCAACTAATATCATAATAGTAATATTTCTGTAAGACCTATTTGTCTATTATATCTAACCGTGTTATACTAATGCCTATTGGCAATGTGGAATGAATTTTTTTTGAATAATTTCTGATAGAAAACAAATAAAGAGCTGCGACTTTCATCATTCAACACATAGGACAAAACCCATTGGATTGTATATTATATGTTTTCCTAGTATATTTTTTGAAGTTTATTTAATCGATTTTCTAATTGTGACAAAAAAATGTTTTTTCTTCAATAAAAGTAGAAACAGCCATAAAATTTTTCACAGAAATTCCTAGAAAAGTCACTTAGAGATTCCCATAGAATACCTATAACTTCTCGATGATTAACTCTAAACATCTGGAACTTGTGCAGTTCTGTAGATGCTTTATCAGCGATTTGAATATACATGTGACAATTGAAAATTTGCTGTAACCATCTCACGGAATAGGTTTGTTTTCAAAAAGAGGTCGATTCAAAACCTTTCAAAAAGTTGTCAAAAAAATCGTATAATATACAGTTCAATGCATCTTTATCTCTTCTTTCTAACGGTAAAATCTGCAAATCACTATCTTGTTTCTGTCAGAGGTGTACATCGCACCTAAAAAATGATGTAGGCCTCTTGACAGTGGCAGCGGCGGCCACCGCACCAAAAGTCTTTTCATCGAGCGGAGCGGTCGTTCGATAGCCGCCCCTATAACTAACACAAGGATTTTTTCAATGAGTTTTTTTTCAGGTGTTTATCGCATTAATATTTCTGAATACGCAGTGCCTCATTAATGAATACTTCCATATGAACAGCAGTATAGCATTAATAAAATCATGAAACTCTATTTGTTCATCAAATTGAACTCGATATATGTACAGGAGGTACCAAAAATCATCTGTTCAAAAACAATTGGCACATCTTCACTAAGTTTCAAATAAGTAAGCTAACTTTTTTCTGATGATCAAGTTATGTTTCAAGTTTATCTTCATAGATCAACAGTTTAACGGCATAATTGAAATCTAGGACCGATGACTTTCATACTAAATTCAGCTTTTATTTTCCAGTACTTTTTCCTCTAATAGCCAACCGTAGAAACATAAAATTTTTTGCAAAACTCGCTTTACGTATCTTATTTTGTAGAGGTTTTTCAATGATTAGTTGCAGAAAATAAATTTTTATATTCTAATGAAAAAATGCAATAGTGCTATGGTTGAAATACTATAGAAAGTCGAATAATTATAGAAATTCAATGGAATTTGACATATTAGTGTGTCGTAAGGTCAACACCATCATGCATCGGTGGAAACAGAAGTTTCTTAATGAAAATGATCAGCAATAGAAACTTTACGAAGTTGGATATATCAAAAAGGTCTTAAGTACTTTTTATGCTTCTATAATTCACTACTTATAAAAGGGCATTACCAAGTATTCTCTATATAACTGGACATATTCTTCACGCGGTTTTTGTGTAAAGAACCTACGGAAGGATTTTACAATGTCTTGCAGAAGCTAAATACGTTGGCAAAAACTCATAGCCTTAATATAAATTATTTGGTATAACGGGTAACCCGAAAGGTTTTGGACAAAATGTCTAGTCAAAAAAGCTATTTATATATTTGGTTTTGATTTCAGTTTTAATTTGAGTGAATCGTCCTTGTTATCCTCTTTGTAGATATACATAACATATTTTAATAATGGATTCACGTCCAATAAAACAAATTGATCTTCGACGACGTATATAGGATCTACTTGGACGGATGACGAAAGTTAAGATTGTGAAACATCTTCAGAGGAAAGGAATTCCACGATCAACAATTTATTCAATTATCAAACGTTATGAAGATGGTCTGCCAATTCAGAACAAACCGAGAAAAAGGCGTCCACCCAAAATGAACAAGAGAAAACAGCATAAGATGAAGAAAATAGTGGA